AATTACAGCCTGAAGGTCCAGGGAGCCTTGGGACCCCTTAGCCAGTCGATAGGGCCATGCTTCGGCAAAGGGAGCCTGCCTGCCTCCTGCTGCAGAGAGCTGGTCTGCCTGGGACAGGTCCAACAAGTGCAGTCTGATTGGAAATAAACCAATGGAGGCAGGGGCAGAATTGCTAATACAATGCAGGACCCGCAGCATGGAGCAGGTGCTCCTCATTTGCATCATCCCATTCTCCCACTCCCCAGCACCCTGGCAAGGACTATGGACTGCAGCAGAGCCAGCGTGTGCAGGAAGGAAGAGTGCTCCTGCAGACAATTAAAGAATGAAGTCAGCAGGCCTCCCACCCTGGGCTCTAGGGTTTGAGGGGGTCAAGCCAAGGACAAGGGACCTAGGATGGGCAGAAATGGGGTATACTTCAGGGCTTCAGACAATTTCTATTAGAGACCAGGATGGGAGTTATCCAGGGGGTGGGAGGCAGATTATCTCCCATCTGCTATTGTGCTGGTGCTGGCCGCTCTCAGAGACAGGATACTGGGCTAGATGGCCCTCGGTTCTGATCCAGTCTGGCAGCTCCTGTGTTCCTATGGAATTTCTCAGGCCCCACCAGGGACATAGCAAGGGGAAGCATGCAGTGCACACACACAGCAGACAAAAAGGGGACTCTCTCTCACATGCACACGCTCTAAAATCAGACACACACACACACACACGCAAACGACACACAGCAGATGCACACCCCAGAGAAAAAATGCAGGGGCACCAGACACACACACATATCAAGCACACGCGCACACTTTCCCCACACACCATGGCAATCTACAAAGGGTCAGTTCCAGTATGTCACTGCGGAGATACAGCCGTGACAGGCGCATGAGATTAGATCAAACCATTCCTTTTCCTTCCCTGCTCTCACCCCAGCCAGGTCAGGAGGAACCCGCAGGCAGAGTTAGGAGCTTTTCGAGGTCAATGAGAGGTGGCATGGTGCCACGCCAAAGGGGGCAGTCAGGACTTATTGTAGGTCTGGATCAGCTGTGACAAACAGTGGAAAGGAAAGGGCTGCCTATTTCTGGGCTGAGGAGCTACCCAGGAGGTGGCAACACACTAGGGTGACCAGAAACCAAATGTGAAAAATCAGGATGGGGGTGGGGGGGAAGAGGAGCCTATATAAGAAAAAGACCCCAAAATCAGGACTGTCCCTATAAAATCAGGACATCTGGTCACCCTACAACACACGGATGGATGAAAGAGTGTTCATGTACCGCTCTCCCCCCCCACACACACACACTTACTGCACTTGCACCAACATGCACTACTTTTCATACACCTAGCTTTCATTCTCACACACACACACTTCCATACACAAACATGCTCATTTATAAACATAATGCATTTGCACAACACACCCTTCCCCCACATGATCAACAACATGCTCACGCAAGCTTACACTGAAGCACACCCAGACACATAACATGATCAGAAAGAAAAATACATCCAAGAGGTATAGACACCCAGCATGGTCATGCAGACATGCATATGTTTACATGCACACATGCATGATTTTCTCATACAAATAAGCAGCTACAGCATACATACACGATAACCTGCATGCCCACAGAGGGTTATTATGGAACACACATTATACATTTGTGCACACATATACCCCATGGATTCACACACACACCATCTCTCTCGGTGTTAGCGAACCCACAACAACCCCATTCCGATGTAACCCCAAGGAATATGCTGCCTTCTGGGAACCCTCCAATAGCAACAAGGGCCCTCAGCCTTTTAGTCTAAAGCTCAATCAACCCCAGGGATTCCCCACCTCCATCTCCCTCAACCCCAACCCCAATGCTTCCAGACATTCCCCCAGCCCACCTACCTCCCCCACCATATCCCTATCCCTCATCCCAGTGATCACTCCCTCCTGCTCTGCTGATACTCACAGGGAAATGACCTCCGTGGGCAGGTTCCTGGGGACAGCTTTGGAGTCAATGCAGAAGGCAGTGTCCCTGGTGCAGGAGCAGCTCTGGGGACACGGGGGCAGCTTGGGGGCTCGCTTGGAGCCTGCAGGCAGCCAGAGGTAGGCCAGGCTGATCAGGAGGAAGGCAAGGACTTGCCCCCTCCGCATCACTTTCCCTGGCTGCAGCTCAGCCATCTCCCTGGCCTGTCCTCCGTCCCCTCCAGAAGAATCCCCCCGTAGACTGTTGCTTCAGCTCTGCTATGTAATCCTCCCTCCTCTCCTGGCTTTGCTCTCAAGCCCAGGAGCTGCAGTGAAGAGCTGAAGCAATCCTGGGAGTGAGGATGCCACAGTCCATCATGCTTCTCTGCAGAGCACCACACTCAACTGCTGGGGTGGGGGAAGCAGGAGTGCTTTGCTGCTGAATGATTCGTCAAAGTGATAGCACGGCTGGGGTTGTCTGTGGTGCATGGGGAGTGTGGGAGTGTGCCACGTGCAATAGTATGTGTGCATGTGCATACTGCATGCACTAGTGTGTTTGCAGATGTGAGTGTGTGTATGTACCGCATGTAACAGTGTGTATGTGTGTCTCTCTCTACAGATATGACTTCCGCATGCGTGTTTGTGTGTCTCTCTGCGTGTGCATGTGAATGTGAAAATACATTTGCAAGAATGTAACTGTGAATGTTTGTAGTGTGCATGCAAATGCGGTGTGTATACAAATATCTGACTGTGTGTGTACTTTGTATGTGCAGGGCTGTGCATGATGGAGCATGTATGGGTTGTGAACGGCTCTGACCAGGCTCTTATGTGCCTGAGAGTTTGTGTGTGCTTTTGTGACTGCATGAGCCTGTGTGCGCCTGGGTTGTGTATGTTCTATGTGCGCTTGTGTGTTTGTTTATGTGTGTGTATGAAAATGGGTGCACATGCAGGCATGAGTGTGTGAATATGTACATGTGGGTCAGTGTACTTGGGTGGGTGAACAGGTGTGCACATGGAAGTGTGTGCACCTGAGTGCTCTTGTGCGTATCCCGAGACCATGGTTAGTTGAAGCACAGACTCTTCCATTGGCTTCTGGCCCTTGCTGACCCACCCTCCCCATCACACTCACAAAGACCTTCACCTGCAGCAGGATCCTCCTACCTGAAACAGGGGCCTCAGCTTTGTCCTCCCTGCCTGCTCATTTCCTTCCGATCTCTCTGCCCTGTGCCCCTAAGTTTGCAGCATTCTACTGATGTCACCGATTCCCTCCCCCATCAACCCCTGCCACCACCCCCCCATACACTCCCCAACCCCCTCCCGTCTGACATGTCCTTGCTGAGCTCTCTTAGATAATTTATGATGACCTGAATGACTTATGAGGCACAAGCCAACCAGTGGCTACCGTTCCAGGCACAGCCTTCTCCTGGCTAACAATGAGAGGGGATGGCTCTATAGAGGGCATTCTTACTCTCCGCAGCTGGGCCTGAGGCCAGGACACTGACAACAAACAAACAAGGGTCCCGGGGCCCAGTGGAGGCAGGGCAAGGGGAGAAGTGATTGTCAAGTCATGGGGTTGTCACTGAACTCCCACGGGGCAGGAGAGGGGAGACGGCAAAGGGAGGGACATGGCCAGAAGCTATGGAGTGAGGGGATGGGTGGATCTGGGGCAGGACACATTATGGCAGCCCAGCTCCCCTTCACTGGAAGGGGCCTCATCGCTCCATCTGTACTTTCTCCAGGAAGCAGGGCAGTAAGCTGGGGGCAGTCCTTAAGCTCAAGGTGCACCTGATAGCCTGAGGGCAAGAAAAATACAAGGAGAGCTCTTTCTGCTGAGGGCTGGGCCAGCACTTCCAGTGCAAAACCAGCACAAAGGACCAACCTCCTGTGCAGGCTCCAAGGCCTCAGGCGGGGAAGCTGGGGACCTAATAGCTGTGTACCATTGCCAGTTCTCTTATGGTCTGTCACAAGGGCTCTGCAATCAGCTGCAGACAGGGTCAGGCTGAACAGCTGTCAGGCCATGGTTAACTGCAGAACAACTGTAAGGTCAGATCCGCCTGGAGCAGGGTCAGAGGTTAGCTGTCAAACAGCAGAGAGATCAAAATTCACTGGGGACCAGCTGGTGTGTTAGGAAGTGCCTGCATTCATTCAGTGAGCTGTAGAAATCAGCTCATCTCTGCCCAGCTGCAGTCCTGCAAACTTCCCCTGTCAAAGGTCCCACCCCTATTAGTACAAGGTCCCTTACCCTGGAGGCTGTCCACAGCTGCAATTATTTAGATCCAGGTTTGAGACCAGATTTTGAAGCCCTCAGTGTCAGGAGAGAGGGTGGCTCAGAGCTCTGGTTTGGGTCTGTCTCTAATTGCAACATGTGGAAGCAAAAATGATGGGACGAGACACCTAGAGAGAACACTCCAGTATTTGAGGGATCAGACCCCATGACCCGTTCAGAACACTGGACAGAATGTGACTGACCCATGGCCCCTCCCCAAAGGCTGCTGGCTTCCCACACTCTGATAAAGGGCCTGGGCACTCATGACTAGTGCTCTTGTGGGAGGCCTTTGATTTTTGGTTTTTGCTTTGAACATCTGAAGCACCATCAGGTGCTAGAGGAGCTAAGAGTCTTGGGGCACTGAGCCAAGCCTGGCCACGGTCATATCGATGGTCCAGATGCTCCAGCCTGAAGGGCAGCACTAGCTCCTCAGAGCTGGATGACTTTGGCCTCAGAACCTCTGTAGTTGCAGCTCTTGGGTGCTAAGAGGCCCATGTGCCCAGAGACAAGTGTCCTTGGAGACTCTCGATGGACACGGTCCCAGGGGTTTATCAGAAACCGGGCTCTGAAGGGCTCCAGGGAAACAGGTTCACAAACAAAAATGAAGTGAACACACGGCTTGTGGCCAGAAGGGCCTGGGGAACTCCAGCGTGGCCTCCCCTTGCCCTCCGCCCCTCCACTATCTCAGGGTCCCCTATATAAGCCCCTCTCCAGTCACGGAGCCTCCAAGGGCTGTTTTATCGCTGGAGGAGCACTACAGGGACGGCCAGGGTCTGCAGAACAAGAAACAAGATGGATGTTAGCAGCAAGGAGGCTCTGATAGAGGCCCCTCCGGTATGGCAATGAACAGAGGATAGATAGTTTTGTTCTGTGTTTGTACAGCGTCTAGCACAATAGGGTCCTGGGCCATGACTGGCGCTCCTAAGTGGTACAGGAATACATATAATAAAAGGGGGTCCTTTCCCTCCAGCATACCCACATCAGCTCTTCTTGCTGTTAATGTTCTTTTCTGTTCCCACAGGACTACTCTCCTGTCGCCAGAATCCCCTGCCTCTCCCCTCACCTCAAGAGACTCTTGATCATCGTGGTGGTGGTTGTGATCATAGTCTTGGTTGTGCTGGGTTTCCTCCTGATGGGATTGCACATATCTGAGAAGCACACGGAAACTGTAAGTACAGAGTTAAAAACCCGGGGGCGATGGTTCAGAGGGGCAAGTCCAGCTGTGTGCCAGTGCAGAGGGGACAGGGGCACGTTGAGGCTGCTGCAGCCATGCCCAGGAGCACAAGGAAGCAGATGCAGCCAGGCAAAGTGAGCTGCTACAGCATGGAACTCAAGCAGACGGGGAAATGCACCTCTGCACCAGTGCTAAGAGGCAGAAGCGGCCAGGTAAAGAGGCTGCTCCAGCACACAAGGGCAGCAGGAAAAGTGGAGCTATGGACAAGCACAGACGGCAGCTGGAACCACAGACAGCTGCCAAGGAGACTGGGACACTAGAGGAATAGGGCTCTATTATCAGGGCCAGCCAAGAAATGAAAGACTTCAGCAAAATTTCAGTGAGTACCTTGAAATAGGAACAGCCCAGGGCTCTGATTTACTAATGTATCTGCCTGCACTGAGTCAGCAAGCAGGAAGGGAGTGCTGCTGGGAAAGAGGGCACTTCTTCAGGGTATAGGCAATGAATGGCTGATGCATTGCATCTTCTGCTTTGGCCCACCCAGCCTCCTGCACTGGGCACGCCTCACTCTGTGGGTTTCCTTGCCTTCTAGGTTTTGCGAATGACTATCCAGGGCCTGGATGGGGAAGGGTCCCCGCAACAGCTCTCCATGAGTGGGAAAGAAAGGACAGGGACTTTCCACATCAAGGCAGGGATCAATTCTTCAGCCACTGTTGTGTACGACTACCCCCACGTAAGTAGGGCACGCTTGTTTTGCTAGGCTTGGGGGAGCCTCTTCCAAATAGGGGGCCACCAGGGCAAAGCTGGCTAGAGCTACAGGGAACTTTCATTGCTATACCCATAGCTCAGACTGGGTGAGACCTGGCCGGTTGGACTAGAGCAGGTTAAATTCCTGGAGTCTCTACCACTCTCTTGATTAGAGGTAGAGGAGCCAGTGATAATTTCAGCCTGGCCCACATAACTGTCCCAGAAGCAGGCTGAGCCAAGCCAGCGTTATGTACCCTGAGACAAGCTCAAACCAAACCCCAGATCTGAACACACCCAAGATTTCGGGTATTCAAAATCCTACCCCCAGACCTGGATTGTGTGGCTTGGGCCCAGCTTTATGCTGATGTCACACCTGGCTGTGAACTAACCACACTGACATCACTTCCTGGTTGCTAGTAAGCAAAGAAAAGCGGGTCCCAGGGGAAATAAAGAGAGAGAAAAACACTCAAGTGTTAATGCAAGCAATAGAAAGTGAGTGAATAAGCACCAAGGTGGGGACAGTGAAGGAAGATGGATGGGGCACTGTCCCCACTGGCCAAAGTGAGAGGGAAGGTGGTGGGGGAGAGTGAAGGGGAGACAAGCAAAATAAGAAGGTGGGTCTGAGTCTGCAAAGCCTTTGTTTTGATCTTGCAAAACCAAGCCCAAGGAGGTTTGGATCCAGTTCCTACCTACACAACCCCCACATTTTGGATAGAGCTTGCAGACACGGCACCGATCCTGGCCCATCTCGAGCTGATGGCTTTACAGTCTCAAAGGGAAAGGCCATGGAGGGTATAAAGGGCTCCTGGGCTGAGTGCCATGTTCAGCAGAGAAGAGGAGGATGGAGAGGGGTGACAATGGTGGAAGCAGAAGGGGCTGTGCAGTTTGAGAGGGTGATTCGGCTCCTGTGAATACAACATGGGGAGCTGCCACGATGGGAAGCCAGGGCTAAAAGTCACCCTGTGCTCTGTCTGCAAACAGCTGCTGATCTGCTACAAATCCTGGCAAGGCCGAGCCTGCTACATCACCAAGATGGACAAGGAGAACATTCAGGGCCTGGATACCATTGCCAAGGCGTTCCAGCATCTCCAGGTGAGCAGCTGGGAATGCACACTCAGTGTGAGCTGTGCCAGGTACAAAGGTGGGCACAGGAGTGCAGGGAGAAAGGGCACTTGGGAGTGAGAAACTTGTGAAAGATTAAAACACTGCAGAAGCTGGAGGCTGCTCTCTGAGTCCCTGAAAGACAGTTGGCTGCAGCCAGAGTGCACCAGCCTGGGTGTACGCAGTTTGAGCTCCCATTGAAGTCAGTAGGTGCTTAATATGGCACCCTCTCCCGTGAAGCCTGAATTTGGGTCTCAGAGCCAAACTTAAAAATGAAGCAACCAGTGAGTATTTGCCTGCACAGAGCAGGCAGAGGCTACAGTGACTTCGTCTGTGTGCCACCAGCGACTGCACTGTTAATTCCCCTCGGTGGGTGTTTGCAGGATCACCACCGCTCCATTCTGGGGAAAATGGGCTCAGGCCAGCACAGGAGCAATTGCTCCATGCCTCATTCAGTGCATACAACTATAAGGGGGTGCAAAGAATGAATTGCCCTTAACAAATGGCTTCCAGCCAAGGCTCTCCATGGTAATGGAATCACATGCACACAGAGTGAGGTGTAGCGCAAGTCAGCGGTGGACTCCTTTTACTCGGGGTACTGTGGAGGCACAGGAAGAGAAAGTGACCTCCCCGAGGTCGCCTGCTGACGCAGTGGCAGAACTGGGCACAGAACCCAGGAGTCCTGGCCCCAAACCCCCACGCTCTCATTGCTAGAAGGCGCTGCCTCTCTTGTGCCAGCTCGATCAATGTATTGGCAAGGTAGGATAATCTAATACTTGGGTGAGGAGAGCGTTACTAGTGCAGGAGGGTAGTGGTGGATGGTTTGGACGTCCTCCCACAGCACAGGACACTTCCACAGCTATTCGGAAGCACTGAGAGCTTAGTTTCCAGAGCAGGGAAAAAATGACACCGTGAGCACATCCTGTTACGATTAGCACCTGATGGTGTCCAAGGATGGTGAACTCCTAGGCCCCCAGCCTGGGCTATAAATCACAATTCCTGTAAAGGTGTGTGGGGGTGGTGCACATCTAATTATATTATTTCCTGTCCTAGCTCGAACAGGGTGAAGAGATGGAGGAAGGGGGGTCCCCTGTGCCCCAGGCCAATCGCTCCATCCTGGGCACTACAGTTAACATCCTCTGCAGCAACGTTCCCATCTACTGGGCTTAGCAAGGGCTCAGGTGGGTGAGCAGCTGGGTATTGGAAGGGGAGCTGGGTTTACTCAGTGACTGCCTTAATCAGAACTGCCTCCAGCAACCCTCTCTCTCTCTCTCTCACACACACACAGTAGCAAAAGCCCTTTGCCAGAGGATTCCCCCTCCTCCCCGCCACGCACCCAGAGTTGCAAAAGCAACAAGCCCTTTGCCAGAGACCAATCAAATCCCTTCCCAACCATCAAATCATCACCAGGCTCCGGACAATCAGGATGCAGAAGAAATGCCTCCATCTGGCTGGTGAGAAGACAAGACTTCCACCCACTCTGCACAGAGAAACCAGAATGCAACAGTCAGCAGAAGGCCATTGCAGTCTCTCATGGACTCATTAGCGGCATCGCTGCAGAGTTTTATGTGGCACGGGTGGAATCAGGCTTGAGAACCCAAGGGACTATGTGTGCACGTAGGGGATGGCCTCCTCTTGGCCCTTTCGCTTGCAGCCTTGGCTGGGAAGGTGGCTGAGGGAAAGGCCTTGCTTTGGTGCCTGGGTTGGGAGGTGTCTAAAATATAACAAAAGCCAAAGGGTAGCCTTGTAGTTCAGGCACTGGGCTGGAACTCAGGAGAGCTGGGGTCACTTCCCTGCTCTGCCACAGATTCCCCATGTGACCCTGGACAAGTCACATGGGGCCAGGTTTTTAAAGGTGTCTAAGCCTCTAACTCTCATTGTCCAATCCCTTAAAAATCTGGCCCTTACTCTCTCTCTGCCTCAGTTCTCCCATCTGTGAAATGGGGATAATGACACTTCCTCTGGCTGTCCTATCTATTTAGACTGTGAGCTCCTTGGGGCACAGACCTCAGCACATGTAGGTACAGCACCTAGCACAATGCAGCACCCGACCTCAACTGGGACCTTGGGCACTACCATAGTGCAAATAATAAATAGTGAGAGAGAAAACCAACAAGGATACCTGGCCACAGGTGGCTTTCTCTGTATGGATTTCTCATGCTCCTCCATTTATCTTACAGGGCCCCGTGCAGTCTGAGCTCCGCGTCCCGGCAGTCACTTTCCAGTGAGATGGGCATGGCGCCCTTGTATCCACAGCACTGGGGCTTCTCTCCTACAATGATGACTACGTTCCATGTGCAATCACTGCACATCTGAGCCTAGGCTCAGGCCGTGGGCCAGCGGGTGGGTGGCTGCATGATCTCCAGCCATTGCAAAGCTTTTGTTCTGTTGCCATTCAAAGCAGCTGGGAATTTTCAGGTGGCACTTGCAATAAAATGAGAGTTTCATTTATGAGTTTATGCTTCTGTCTGAAGAGTAAAATCTCCATAGGACCAACATGCTGCTGTTTCCTTTATTCTCTTCTTAGAGAGATTTGTCTTTTCCCTTCTGGATTCTGCCATATGGTATTGATTTAATCAAAACTGCTCAGGGCCTTGTTTATACCCAGGGCCAGAACAAGTGAACAGGCGCTCACCCAATAGGATTTAAAGGTTGGTATATTCACGCATGTTGAGAGGCAGTGATGTCTAGTGGATAGAACACTGGACTGGGAGTCAGGAGACCTGCCTTCTATTCCCAGCTCTGCTATTGACCTGCTATCTGACTGTGGGTAAGTGACTGCCAGTGCACCTCCTAAGGGGGCTAAAGTAGGACATCAGTAGTGCCTGGACCTTGCAGTGGCCCCTCTGCACAAGCTGAATGTCCCTCGCCGTGCATGATCACTCAGCAGATTTCAGTGCAGCTAGGACACAGATAATGCATCCAGTTATTACATCGACCCTGGAGCTAGATTTGTAAACAGGCTGGGTGATTATATGATCAATAACCCGGGGGGAGATGTGCAGCATTACCTTTGGGATTTAGACACACAATTCCCCATGAAACAAATGGAAAACCCCAGCCCTGTTGTTATCCCCAGTTAGGGGTGAGAAAATCTCATACTGCATGGGATAAGCAGCTTGCTGTAGGGGAGAAGGAAGAAATGCAAATATGTACACACCCACACACACACACAGTTGCACATTTGGTCAGGTGACCTATTGAGGGGTTGCTTCTTCTGTAGCATCCACTGCTGACCACTGTCAGGAACAAGACACTGGCCTTGGTGGGTCTGTGGACAGATCCACTCAGGTGACTCCTGTGTTCCTGTACTTCTAGCCTCTGTCTGTTACATCAGGCTCTTTATGCAGCATCAAGGGGGCCTGATGCTGGTACAGGACTCTTACGTTGCAGAGTTGGGAAGATGGGGATCATCATGCAGCCCAGCAGCTGCCAGAACCACAAACAAAACCTACCCTGCAAGCTGAGTAGGTTGTGAACAGGATGGGTCACAACGCATGGGAAGCTCTCCCTGGCTCATGGCTTGTCCTTGAGGCCTTTACGCCACGGCCAGGTGAACCCATCTCCTCCCCTGCAGACAGCTCCACCAGTTCCCCATTAATTACAGAATCCAGTTTTAAATGATTCACCTCACCATGCTTTCCAGTCCCTCCAGGAGGTGGAGGGATGTCAGTGTGCATCTGTACAGGAGAGTGTTGGTGATATGTGTCTTGTGTGTGTCTGTATCTGAGCACATATGTCCCAGTGTACGTGTGTACACTTACCCTTAGCTAATCCAACCTAAAGCACAACCTTGGATCTGAACATCCCCGAGCTCTGGGAAAGTTAAGATCTCACACTGCAGCTTGGTACCATCTCCTTTAGGAAACAAGTAATGAAACAGGAAGGACACATTTTTCATGTGATACCCTCCTTGAAACTTTGAAACCAATTAAAACTTGCTGCTGTAACATCTTAGGGAGACAGCCAGAGACTGAACACCAGCAGTGTAAGGGTTAATCTGGCAGTCAGGATCAATCTCCCCTAAAGCTGGCAGATACCACCATAGGAAAAGGGGTCTAAGCCCCAGTGCAATTGGCTAGACTGACAATGATCCGCCAGTTAAACAAAAGAGCTCACTGGCCAGTTCCAAGTGGAACAAACCTGGAAAACGGAAAACGGCCCTTCGACCCCCGGCAATAGGAAGCAGGCTGGAAATTGTAGCTAGACAAATTCAGACTGGAAATAAGGGGTACGTTTTTAACAGTGAGAGTAACTAACCATTGGAACAATTTACCCAGGATCGTGGTGGATTCTCCATCACTGGCACTTTTTAAATTGAGATGGGATATTTTCCTAAAAGATCTGCTCTAGGAATTCTGGGGACGTTCTATGGCCTGTGTTATACAATGGGTCAGACTAGATGATCATAATGGTCCCTTCCGGCCTGGGAATCTATGAATCACTCGCTCAGCCACCAGAGAAGTAGGACACCATCCTCCGTGTTGACGCCTGTGCTGGGAGATCTGGGCCGAGTGGAATCAGCATCCCAGCCCCACTCCCCAGTGTGTCACTGTTTTGCAATGCAAAGCCACTGAGATGCCGACAAGCTCCGGCTCAGCTCCATTATTTGATGTCCCTGGTCTGCCTGTTACCCAACATCTGCCTTCGCACAGGTGGTGCAATGTGGCAGAAGATCAAGAATATGTTCCCACTGCAATTGAGGAGCGGGGTGGGTGTGGGGAGAAGAGAATGTCTGGGATAGGCTTCATGCAGCAAAGGGAGCAGATGAGGATTCTAAGGACTCTCTCCAGGATAAAGAATGTTTGAGGGTAAATGGCCCTGAGAGCTACTTGATTCTCTCTCCCTCCCTCCCTCAAACATCACTAAGAAAACACATTGCACAGAGTGAGGAAAATGCAAAGACCTTCCCTTTGAGGGTTGGCAAGCACTCAGAGTCTGCAGAAACCAGAGCCAGGGCTGTCAGGGGTCAAACAGCAAATGCGCAGGCTCCTCCAAGCCCTTGAGCAGGGAGGCTGGGGAGCTCCTGGCTCTTACAGGTTGAGGAATGTGCAACCGTTTCTTTCTCAAGGTCTGTGCTGGCAGCTGTGGATTCAGTGACAGTGGAAGAAGAGGAGATAGCTCAAGGCCAACTGTTGGAATGCCTGCAAATGATCAGCTCTTGGATGAAGAGCAGCTGGGCCCAGGCAAGACCAAAGTGATGCTGATTGGAAAGGGGAAACGCTTTGGAGAACTGGTCGAGGCAGTGTCTCCACCTTCCATTGAAGGCTCCATTCGTCAGAGAGATGTGACCCCTGGAACTGTTGGACGCATTGCTAAGCTTGGAGGATTGGGTAGCATGAGTATCTACCAATGCCTTCCTTTCATCTCCAGCTCACTAGGAAACTTCCTCCCACTGAGGACCTGTCCACAGTGATCTCTGCATTCATCCTCTCCAGGCTGGATCACTGAAACTCAATGTATCTGAATGTCCAGAGGATTCACAGGCTCCAGCTATCACAGAATTCAGCTGCCCCCTTCTCCTTGGCTCAGGCTGCCATGAGCACATCAGGCCTGTGTGATGGTCCCAGTCAGCTTCCAATCGCAGTTTAAGGCCTTGCTCTTAAATTTTAAAAACAATTAATGGATCAAGCCCCAGCTACATCTATGGCTGATTTTTGATCTATGAACCACCACGACAACTCCACTGGGGCAATGCAGATCTCAAAGCCCAGGACGAAGCACTTGAGAGCTGGAGATAAAGCATTCTCAGTCGAAGGGATCTGACTATGACACAAAGTTCCAAAGGAAATCAAACAAATCCAGAAAGTCTGACCCTCTGTAGGAAACGCCACCAAACCTTCCCCTTTGAAAAGGCCTTTTCACCATACGACAGACACTCATAGCACTGACACTGCCTTCTACCTCCAAACCCAACACAGACCCACCCTAAAATCCAAAACCTGACCGCCTCCTCTACCCCAAAACCCCAACACTGACCCTCCTGGAAACCTAAACCCCAGCACTGATCCACTCCTCTACCCAATAAAATACTACCACCTAAAAACCCTACCCTGGAACAAATTGACCCAAAACCCCAAAAGTCAATCGATAAAATTTTGAAAAAGAAAATCCCATTCCCAAAGTTTTTTACCCTGAAAAAAGCGAGAAGTGCTAGAGACTCCATGAAATCAACTGGGGACTTTGCTAGTGCTATTGATTTTATGTGGAAGGTGCTCGGATACCAGTGATGTCTGGCAGTATTGATACCCATAGATAGATAGCTGGATTAGAACAGCAATTAGGTCAAGGCCAGATGTGAGATCAGGGTTGGCTGTAGGCTAGCTGGAGTTAGAGGTGAAAGCTCAGATTTTTAAAGGTTGCAACATCTACCTGATTTAGGAGCCTGAATTTCATTTTCTAATGGAATTTAGGCATTTAGAAGCCAAAATTCCCTTGACAGCCAATGGGACTTTGGTTCCTAAGTGCCTAAATAACTTTTGAAAATGATATTAGGCTGCACAGCAACACCTAAATAACTTTACAAAACTGGGCCACAATCCTGGCCCCAAGGAAGTTAAGGGGAGTTTTGATTTCACCCTACTGGTTTGGCATGTCTTAATCATGGACCTCTAACGACTCATAGATCAGTTCACTCAGTGGGTGAATTTCACAATCATAGAATCGTAGGACTGGAAAGGACCTCAAGAGATCATCTAGTCCAGTCCCCTGCACTCATGGCTATGACTATGCATCACCTAAGTCCCACTTCACCTTACGCTGGTCCTCTACCCAGGGGCGAGTTTTCCAAAGTGCCTATGCTCCACATCTTTGTGCAGGTGCATCCCTGCAAGCTTCCCTTGCTGAAGGTCTCACTCCATTCAGAGCTTCCTTTCTTCACCCCCTCCCAGCTCCTGAGGTGTCCATGCTCCCACCTAACCTACAGCAGGAAACTGCAGCCCTGGTAGCACAAGGATGCAGCAGTGTTAGCCCCAGAAAGTTTCCATCTCTCCTTAAGTTGCTGCCTTGAAGAGATTGGGCAAGGTGGTGGTGCAACCATTTGTTGGAAACGATGGAGTTTTGCACACGGCCCTTCCTCAAAGGCCCCTGGCTGACCACAATCCAATAAGGGCCTGGACACTCACGACTAGTGCTCTTGTGAAAGGCTTTTGACTTTCGGCTTTTGCTTTGAACATCTGAAGCACCATTAGGTGCCAGAGGGGCTAAGAGACTCGGGGCACTGAGCCAAGCCTGGCCGTGGCCATATCGACAGGCCGGATACTCCAGCCTGAAGGGCAGCACTAGCCCTGTAGAGCTGGATGACTTTGGCCTCAGAACCCCAGATGGTGCAGCTCTTGGGCGCTAAGAGGTTTATGTGCCCAGAGACAAGTGTCCTTGGAGACTCTCGACTGACACAGGCCTAGGAGCTTATTAGAAACCAGGCTCTGAAGGGCTCCAGGGAAACAGGTTCACAAACAAAAATGAAGTGAATTAGACACTTGATTTGTGGCCAGAAGGAGCTGGGGAACTCCAGCATCCCTTCCCCCCTCACCTTCTCTTACCGCAGGTCTCCTATTTAAGTCTCTCTCTACCCTACGCACTGAGGGGACGTCCAAGTGGCACAGGAGAAGCAGCAAGATGGAAATCAGCATCAAGGAAGCTCTGATTGGGGACCCACTGGTAAGCCTCAGCCTCACCCCCTCCTCCCCGGGCTGGGTTTTAGCAAAGGACAAAGGTTACATGAAAGCTACCACATCCCCCGTAACTCATATATTGCGGCTCAAATAGTTTCTAGTGCCCAGCTACGGTTATGGGTCAGTGGCGGATTCTGTCCCTCTCAGCTTGCAGAGTATGGGTCGGCATGTGAACCTGTGTGTCTGTGTGACTCTGTCTCTGTATGTGTGTGCGCATGTCTCCAGGTGTGTCTCTGTACTTGCCCCTGTCCATAATGATGTACAAGACATTTCACCTGCTTCCTTGGTTCCCCCAATGCCTGTTGAGCTGCCGTGCTCAGCTGGGTGCAGATCTGGCTGAGTCACCGACTGCTCATTTCTGAAATGTACCCGCTCTAGCAGCTGTCAAGGGTGCATGAGAACTATCAAATGGTGAACCCCAGAGAGGAGGGGGTATGACCCTGCTGAGTCAACCAGTGCTTCTCCCCAGAAAGCAGGGGCAATTGCCTGAGGCTGCATGGGGGCTATTAGAGAGGCATCTTGCCGACAGAGTCAGCCACAGTGCTGGGATCTAGCTTGCTACTTTAAAAAGCACTTGGAGACACTCTGAATATGGAAGATACTACTTAAAACCATGGCCCGTCCCAGGCCCAAATCCTGTGCCTGCGCTTCATTTCTCTCTGCCTCTCTCTCCCCCAGTCCTGTCTCCTTCCCTGGCTCTCATCTTCACACCCCTTTCCACTCCACTCCTCCTGCTCCCTTTTGCTTTGCATTTCAATCCCCCCTGCAGTGACCCCTCTCTCTGTGTTTGCTTGTGTCCCCAGCACGACAATGCTCTGGATTCAGAGATGGACGTCTGCCCCAGCTGCACTGACTGCTGCCCCAGCTGCCCCAGCTGCACTGACTGCTGCCCAGGCTGCCCCAGCTGCACCAACTGCTGCCCAGGCTGCCCCAGCTGTAAGTCCTGCTGCAGCTGCTGCTGCAGCGCCTGGAAAAGTTTCCTGTGCTGCCTCCCTAAGCTACTCTGTCATCTGCCCAAGTGTCCCGGCTGCCCCCTGCACATCAAGAGAATCCTAATCATCGTGGTGGTCATTGTGCTGATAGTTGTGGTCGTCCTGGGAGCCCTGCTGCTGGGACTGCACGTGACCCAGGAACACACCGAGACTGTAAGTAAGGGGGAGAAGGAGCAGGTGAGGCTGTGCACAGGTGCAAAGGGAGGTGTTAAAATCTTACCCAAATGCAGCAGTTTATAGATGAACAGGGGATAGTGGCAGCTGGGAAGAGATGCAATGGGGATCCATGTAGCTGATGGCAGATGCAGCCTTGTGTAGGTGCAAAGGGGACTTGTGCAAAGGGTATGGCCCTGCATAGGTGCCCAGGGGACTGCTGCAGCCCTGCAGAAGAGATCGCTGTCTCTGCACCCAAGTCTAGCAATAGGCAGAGGAAGCGGGGACAGACGCACAGAGTGGCAGAACAAAACTGGGGCAGTCATGCACCGGTGCAGAGAGAGCAGATGGGGTCCTCTTCGGTGCAGAGGGGACTCATGCAGTCATTCATTGGAGGAAACAGGATTGGCACAGAGGGGACAGATTGCAACCGTGAATGACCAAAGTCAAGGACCAAGCCAGAGGAAGATGTTGCAGTCGCATTTAATTCCCAGAGGGCTGACTGAAATCCTGGCCCACTGGGGACAGATCCTGTCTACCTTGCCTCACAATATGTGCGGACAGCAGGGAAGAGACAGGGAGGCCTTGGTCTGTCGGGTTAGCAGGAGAACATTTAGGAGAAACAAAATCAATCTTGAAAGTGTCTTCCTAATAAACTTACCCTTTCCATTCTGCAAGAGACTCTGGGGCCCTGGCTAGCCTTGAGAGAGGGAACAGGATTGATTATTAGAAGCAACAGAGAAATGAAGAGCAGCTGCAAAATGTCCCTGGGCCCTTTGAAATGACTGAGCTTCAAAGGGGTTAGAATGGAATAATGTTGCTCTTCTCGATGCAGGGGACCCACAGCAGAGATGATAGAGATCCCATCCCTTCCATTTCCCTCCCCTCCCCACCGCCCTGCTCTCTCTACTGCTCATTCTTTAGGCTCTATGATCTCCTCCTAGGTTTTGCAAATGACCATTGAGGGGCTGCAGGGGGAAGAGTCTGGACTGCGGCTCTCCATGGACTGGGAAGAAGAGGTGGTGACTTTCCTCATTGATGCAGGAACCCATGACCCGGGCACAGTCGTGTATGACTACAGTAATGTAAGCAGGGAGTGCTTGCTTGGCAGGGGGCGTGCTTCAGAACGGACCCTTGCCATCAGGCCGGGACTGCATTGGATCCTCCTGTCCAGGGAGTGAGGCTGTTTTTAACCCATGCATGTGGCATCTGAGCACAAACGTGGCGATGCTGCATTAGAACTGAAGGCACGCTGAGAGACTGTTAGGCTCTGCTGGGTGCCAGCCCCTCCAGGCAAAATCAGAAGGGGTTCCAGCCTCAGTTGGGCTGCATCATGCCCCTGAATGGAGCAGGGGAGTCAGTCCCTGGGAGGAAAGTCCTTGGGTTGCTCAACAGACAGCACTTTGGACAAGCAAGGAGCAGCACCTGTTGGCACACGGGAATCCTGTCTTGGTCTCCTCTTCCTCTGTCATGATGCAGGGTTGGCGGGTGGGGGAGGAACTGGGTGCTGCCAGAGATGCAGAAAACCCAGCTCCACAAGAGGAACATGAACAGAGAAGAAGAGCCAAGTGAGAGAGGGAGTGAATGGGGCTAGAGTTGGGGCTATGAGGGGAGAAGGATGGTGTGTTGCCTTCAGTGGCCAGCGTGGGATGGAAGGTGGTGGGGAAGGGTGCAGGGGAGACAAGCAAAATAAGATGGTGGGTTTGGGTTTGCAAAGCCTCAATTTTCATCTTGCTAAACCAATCCCCAAGGAGGTTTGAACCCAGCTCCTATCTACCCAACCCCCACACACTGGACAGGGCTTGGAGTGATGGCACCGACCCTGGCCCATCTCGAGCAGATGGCTTTAAGTCTCAAAAGGAAAGGCCCATGAAGGGTCTAGGAGGCTCCTGGGCTCAGCGTCATGAGGGGGATGGAGAGGGGTGACATTGTGGAAGCAGAAGTGGCTGTGCAGTAGGAGAGGGTGAATCAGCTCCAGTGAGTACCGGGGAGCTGCAGTGATGGGAAACCAGGGCTAATAAAGCACCATGTGCTCTGTCTGCAAACAGCTGCTGATCAGCTACAAATCCTGGCAAGGCCGAGCCTGCTACATCACCAAGATGGACAAAGAGAACATTCAGGGCCTGGATACCATTGCAAAGGCATTCCACCAGCATCTCCAGGTGAGCTGTCAGGAATGCACACTCAGTGTGAACCATGCTGGAAACAGAGGTAGGTATAGGAATGCATGAGGGAAACGGCACTCATGCAATGCTGAGTCTGAGGCCAACAGAGAATGGGTGTGTGTTTGTGTGTGTGTGGAAGATAATACATGGATAACAGAGATAAGAGACTATTTAGACTCCAAAGATCAAACCTCCAAAGGATGGTGCATCAGGGACACCTGGAGTTATGCACATGCATCAGCTGGACCAGTAAAAACAGCTACACATGCAAAATGGGCTAGTGTATGTCTAGTTGCTGGTGTGTGTGTGTGTGTGTGATTCCACAGTAGCCTCTGGAGTTGAATTGTTCCTCTCTTTGGATCTTTTACATTCACCAGCCGCTGTGAGAATGATTTGCTCTCATAAAGCGCGTGATATACGAGGGCATGGAAATGCTTTGCTAACACTGACTGGCCCTCAGAGCCCTAAGGGGGGTTGATGGCAAAGAGAAATACTGATGAGTTAAGTGCCTCAGGGCAGACAGTGAGTTAGTGGCAGAGTCAAAAATAGAACCCAGGAGTTCTGATTCCCAGTCCATTAGACCATACAGCCTCCAAGAAGTGGGAGCAGAATCCACAAGTCCTGAATCTTTCATCATCTGCTATAATCACTAGCCTCCACAGACTCCCATATTTATATTCAAATAATTCCACGTCCTATTAAAACAGGCTGGCCTGTATATCTCCAGCTGGGGCAGCATTGCTAGAAATTTTTATTGCTTCAGAAGCAGTGTCCATATGGGAAGCCCTCCAGATGTGGAATCCATCCTCACAGGTGGAGTGAAGGTGTTGGAAATATAGTGGGCACTAGGAGAAAACGTAGTGTGCGTATCGTATTGCCATTAAGGATTTAAGATCTAGGGGGATGTCAATAGCCTGTGTCTATTCCTGTTGCAAACAAGGATGCAGGGTGTTTTGTGTGTGTGTTTAATTTTTATTATTTCCTGCCGTAGCTCAAGTCGCTCATCCTGACCCCCGAGCAGGGTGAGGAGGAGGAGCAGAAAGGGTTTCCTGTGACCCTGGCTGATCGCTCCATCCTGGGCACTACAGTTAACATCCTCTGCAGCAACGTTCCCATCTACTGGGCTTAGCAAGGGCTCAGGAAGGTGAGTAGCAATGTGGATGGGTGTCAGAATGGGAGCCGATTGTGCTCAATGGCTGAACAATCACAGTTACCTGCACTGACCACCCACTCCCAACACACATGCACACACACACACACACACACACACTACAGTAGAAGCATGTGTGACAGGCATGTCGGGAATGGGTCTTGGGGAGCAGGCACCAGGGGACATGGCCTATGTGCAGACACAGGAGTGAGTTCTTCACTGCCAAGCTGACAGGGTGGATAAAAATCAATGATTTTTTTAAAAAAAAAATCAAAAACATTGGATTTTTTTAATTTATATTGGATTTTTTTGATAAAATGCATTTTGAGGAAAAACCCTATCTAAAGATAGTTTTAATTAAGATACATTATAGCTCAAAGATATCTCATCATGGAATAGGGATTATGCATTATAATTCTATAGTATGAGACAATATATTCACGTAATGTTTAAGAAAAGTTTTGTAAATGAGTTCCAATAATTCATGGATTAGGGGCCCAATCTTATGGGGATCCAGTGGCTTCTGTATAGATTATTTAGGTTAATCTTTCTATCTACCCAATGGGACTCATTGTTCAGTCTAGAAGATACCATCAGAGATGCTTAGTTTTGCAGTTCTCAAACTGTGGATTTGTGTCTCCAGAGATAACATGCTTGTTAACAGCAAAAATGTGTTAAATAAATAAATAATATAGAGAGGTGAGAAATAACAGACCTCAACCCTATTGTCCCTCTGCAAATTTGTGTACACAGAGTCAATCCCTTACCTCTCTCTAAAAGTGCAAAGTTTCAAAAAGTTCAATGAATAGAAGATTGTTGGGGGCGGAATAGATCTGGACAAGGAGAAGAAGTCTGAAGATAAATATGAGAAGGGAGAGACAGGCAGTAGAAACAAGAGTGAACCTGTTTGAGCAGCATATTCCAGAAGTCTTGAGGTCTTTGTGAGTGTAGCCTTCATTGATTTGAGATCTACCATACCATTCTCTCACTAGAAATGAAAACCTATAATGGCAGCAGGCCGTAAAATAGACCCAGTTTGGGAATAAGAACCATTCAAGAATATGTTTGCTGATGATGTTTTAAAGAAAGTCACACCAGTGAACAGGTGGAAGTCACTTAAGCACTTGGGTTCAGAGACTGTTGAAGTGATAATCTCACTTTTAACAGCAGTAGCTTCTTCTGCTAGTGCAGAAAGAATATTTTCTTCCTTTGGACTAATTCATTCCAAATTGAAAAATTGTTTGGGACCTGAAAAAGCAGGAAAGCTTGTTTTTCTTTTCCAGATTATGAACAAACAGGAAAATGAAGGTGAAGACGACTGAGTTAGCTGCAGAAGCCAATATTTTAAGTTTCTCGTGTTGACCTGGCTGACATAGTCGATTTAATTTTTGTTTTTGTTTTTTTAAATATTTCACTTAACTATTTTAGTTAAAAACAATTTTAGCAAAAACAAACCTGATTTTAAAAAACTTGAATGTTTAACTAAATTCAAAAAAACTAATCTGAAAAGTTTTCAAAATAAATCACTTAAAAATGTATCGTGTGTACCTTCGAAAAATGAAACCTACATCTATGTCTGAGTTGTAAAGAATATGTATTAAGATTATAACAACCAGCAAGAATGCACTTTTATGTAGAAATCCATGATTAAATCGAGTCTTCCTGACTAGTGATTTAAATAGTGATTTAAATAAATTTGATTTAAATCAAATCCACCCTGCAGGCCGAGCTGAGGCCCTGCAGGAACAGCTGGCAAATGTTACAGCCTTCAGAGGAAACTATGCATTAGGCTGGAACAGTCCTCCCATAGGCCAACTGAGAGAGTCAGCAGGCAGCTTGCAGGGTTGTACGCCTGCTGCAAAGGGAGTGGATGCTTCACGTTCACCTTGAGACAAGGAGATACAAATCCTCAGCAGCCACACTAGGTGATAGTGACCTCTTGGAGTCGGAGATGCTAGCAGGCCCTTTAGCACAGAGCGGAAGTGACTGATAGAGAGTCCACACTCTGCTGCTCTGGTAGAAGTTATTGTCTGTGTATGAGAATAAGGGGATATTGGCAAAGGCAGCCAGGCCCAATAGCTGCCCAACTCTCCCATTAAACCAATGGACACCTAACTCCCCTTTGTGCCTCTGGAAATCTCTCCCTAAAAGCAGAAATGAGGGAGGTAATGCTAGGGGGCCATCTGTGGCCAAGCAACACTTACAGATCATGATGTTCACAGGGATCATTTTTCACCCCCCGTGTGTTTGCTTTGCGGTATCCATCAAGGACGGCGCATCTCCTGCCTGCCATTGCTTCCGAGGGGGTCCCGGCAGAATGGGAACACCACGTCCTCAGCCAGACCCTCAGCTGTGGCTTTGCTGACTCTGTACCTGTGGGTGATTATGGTGCACCTAGCTCTGTGCAGAACTCTCTCGCTGGCCCCAATTCAGGAAAGCATGACGCACCTGCTTAAGTTCCCCTACCTTCAAAGGGACTCAAGTGGGTGCTTAGATGCTTTCCTGAATAGGGCAGTTTTCCAGAATCATGGGAACCCAGTTGGAAGAACTGTGCCAATGGGAAGAGGAGTCAGAGGGACTCTGCTATAAATAAATGTACATGGGCTGATCTGTTTGCATTGGATGCAGCGGGCATTTGCAAGGGACACTATAGAATGAGAGGATTGCTTGCCATTCTTTTTAGAGAATAAAATCTACAGTCCCTCACCAACCCCTCTTATTTCTCCTTCTGGGTAATGAGGTACTGTGTCTTCACTTTACATGACCTCATAGCCTGGTGGGCTAGCACAATGTGGCCAGAGTAATGACAGCAGGCACAACTCATGAGACTAAGGGCTCGTCTACATAGAGTGTTAGTCCAGAATAGCTATTCCTGATTAACTCCAGCTGTGGATGCTCTTATTCCAGCATAAAAGTGCCTGAGTCCAAATTAGCTTAATCCGCTTTATGTGCCTTTGGGCAATTAAAATGCACCTGGCTCTATATAGGAGTCACTTTGTGAACTAAATTAATTTGGACTTTTAAAAAAACTATTGTGTCATGTTGCTCTCCTCTGCTAATCAGTGGAGTTTGTTAGCAAAAAACAATTGTCAGAATTTGCTATTTTGTTGAAATTGGAACATTCTACAGGACTGTGTCAATTCTGACAAAATCCCAACAGAAACCAAGCATGTTTCCAATGGAACTTTGCCTGCCAGACAGGATTCTATGAAAAACCTGCTTGGCTCCTTGGCAGACCATCTGGCAGGATGCAGTGAACCCAGGCTCCCAGCTCCTCAGCTGCCTGCCTGGTGGGCTGATGGGAAGCCAGGAGCCTGGAAGTTGCGGGAGCTCCAGCTCCCAGGCTTGTGACTCCTCGCCAGGCAGGACTGTTAGGGTTTCTGGATCCACCACCACCCACCAGGTTGTACTACTGTGGAGCTAGGGCTTCAAAGGCTCCCAGGTTCCCCAGCTCTGGGGCAGCCCACCAGGCTGCGTTAGAGCTCGGTGGAGATCAGTAATTCACAGAGAATTTCAAAAATGTTGGTTATCACTCCGAACCAGAATGAAATCTGAAATAGCAAAATCCTCTGCAAAATAGAATTACCGTTCCCCAGCCAGCTCTGTATTAGCTGTCATGTTTTACCCTAGAGGTAAATGTACAGGAACTGCTAACAAAAATACTAATTAATGCCAAATTCAATGATGGCTTCTGTGATCTGGACACCTGTCCATGAGGAACTGGACTAGGACCTTCTAATTCATTTTACAAAGGTCACCTGTCATTTTGATCTTTTAGCATTCAAGGGAGAAAAGCAAAATGTATTTAAGCCTGGTTGCAATACAATTGTAAATGGCTATTATTTACTTTGGACCAAAAAACATCCTTGAAGAAGCTTTAACATGGCTTAGATTGTGCAACACACAGTATGCACTGTGATAAGTGTCTTTATTTCCTTCTCCTTGTCAGGCTGTTACCTTGATCAACATACCCAGGAAAGGTGCATAAGTAAATCAGGGCTGTGGAAGTGATCCCTTGGGTTACGTTGGAAGGGAACAGAAGAGAATTCAGAGGATTGCCATTTGGACAGAATAAGAAATCAGGTCCTTCTAATATCATGCAATTTTAATAGTGAAGGCTAGCATAATAAGTCATTCCATAAATCCATTATTAACTACCAGCAGGACAAATAAATTACACTATTAGCCCATTATCTATAGTTCAAACTGAACGCTGCTTGGTAATACAATTGCAGAGTAGGTGACCTAAACATGACAGGCATTCTGAGATAAGTTGAAGGAATTCAAAGCAGCACCTGTGGCTGTGTACTCAGCTGCTGTTTTCTAACCCATTTTCCATTTGAATGTGATATTTTTAAAACAAATCTACATATGTCCTCTGTAAACACTTATTCTCTGGAGTACTTGTGGCACCTTAGAGACTAACCAATTTATTTGAGCATAAGCTTTCGTGAGCTACAGCTCACTTCATCGGATGCATACTGTGGAAACTGCAGAAGACATTATACATACACAGAGACCATGAAACAATACCTCCTCCCATCCCACTCTCCTGCTGGTAATAGCTTGTCTAAAGTGATCACTCTCCTTACAATGTGTATGATAATCAAGTTAGGCCATTTCCAGCACAAATCCAGGTTTTCTCACCCTCCTCCCCCCCATACACAAACTCACTCTCCTGCTGGTAATAGCCCATCCAAAGTGACCACTCTCTTTACAGTGTGTATGATAATCAAGGTGGGCCATTTCCAGCACAAATCCAGGTTTTCTCACCCCCCACCCCCCCTCCAAAAACCACACACACAAACTCATTCTCCTGCTGGTAATAGCTTATCCAAAGTGACCACTCTCCCTACAATGTGCATGATAATCAAGGTGGGCCATTTCCAGCACAAATCCAGGTCTTCTCACCCCCCCCCCCCCCCCCACAAACTCACTCTCCTTCTGGCAATCGCTCATCCAAACTGACCACTCTCCTTACAATGTGTATGATTATCAAGGTGGGCCATTTCCAGCATAAATCCAAGTTTAACCAGAATGTCGGGGGGGGGGGTAGGAAAAAACAAGGGGAAATAGGCTACCTTGCATAATGACTTGGCCACTCCCAGTATCTATTTAAGCCTGAATTAATAGTATCCAATTTGCAAATGAATTCCAATTCAGCAGTTTCTCGCTGGAGTCTGGATTTGAAGTTTTTTTTGTTGTAAGATAGTGACCTTCATGTCTGTAATTGCGTGACCAGAGAGATTGAAGTGTTCTCCGACTGGTTTATGAATGTTATAATTCTTGACGTCTGATTTGTGTCCATTTATTCTTTTACGTAGAGACTGTCCAGTTTGACCAATGTACATGGCAGAGGGGCATTGCTGGCACATGATGGCATATATCACCTTGGTGGATGTGCAGGTGAACAAGCCTCTGATAGTGTGGCTGATGTTATTAGGCCCTGTGATGGTGTCCCCTGAATAGATATGTGGGCACAGTTGGCAACGGGCTTTGTTGCAAGGATAGGTTCCTGGGTTAGTGGTTCTGTTGTGTGGTATGTGGTTGTTGGTGAGTATTTGCTTCAGGTTGGGGGGCTGTCTGTAGGCAAGGACTGGCCTGTCTCCCAAGATTTGTGAGAGTGTTGGGTCATCCTTCAGGATAGGTTGTAGATCCTTAATAATGCATTGGAGGGGTTTTAGTTGGGGGCTGAAGGTGACGGCTAGTGGCGTTCTGTTATTTTCTTCGTTAGGCCTGTCCTGTAGTAGGTGACTTCTGGGAACTCTTCTGGCTCTATCAATCTGTTTCTTCACTTCCGCAGGTGGGTATTGTAGTTGTAAGAATGCTTGATAGAGATCTTGTAGGTGTTTGTCTCTGTCTGAGAGGTTGGAGCAAATGCTGTTGTATCGCAGAGCTTGGCTGTAGACGATGGATCGTGTGGTGTGGTCAGGGTGAAAGCTGGAGGCATGTAGGTAGGAATAGCGGTCAGTAGGTTTCCGGTATAGGATGGTGTTTATGTGACCATTGTTTATTAGCACTGTAGTGTCCAGGAAGTGGATCTCTTGTGTGGACTGGACCAGGCTGAGGTTGATGGTGGGATGGAAATTGTTGAAATCATGGTGGAATTCCTCAAAGGCTTCTTTTCCATGGGTCCAGATGATGAAGATGTCATCAATATAGCGCAAGTAGAGTAGGGGCGTTAGGGGACGAGAGCTGAGGAAGTGTTGTTCTAAATCAGCCATAAAAATGTTGGCATACTGTGGGGCCATGCGGGTACCCATAGCAGTGCCGCTGATCTGAAGGTATACATTGTCCCCAAATGTAAACTAGTTATGGGTAAGGACAAAGTCACAAAGTTCAGCCACCAGGTTAGCCGTGACATTATCGGGGATAGTGTTCTTGACGGCTTGTAGTCCATCTTTGTGTGGAATGTTGGTGTAGAGGGCTTCTACATCCATAGTGG